TCGCTCCGACGCTGAGAGCAGCGAGTCCTCGACGTCGGAGGACCGGCCAGAGCAGCTCGCAGACGCTGGCTTACGGTCTCGCAGACAGCAGGCCTCTGCCTCGCAGGATTCCACAAGCTACACCATGGCCCAGGCCCTGAACATGGCCTCCGTCGTCGTTGGCGCGGCCGCTTCTTCGCCCGTCTCTCCCACCGCTGCCAGCGCCGCTGCAGAGACCGGCAGAGCTCCAGGCCAGCCGACTGCTTCCACGGCCCATCCTACGTCCCAGAACGGTCTCTCTTCGCCGGCAGCAGGAGAGTCAACGGAGATGTCTACGTCTGAAGCAAACTCGCCCGGCCAGCAGCACCAGGAGCAGCAGTCCATTATCCGCTTCTTCGCCTATCAAGACCCCCACCAGAACTCCCGGCCCTCCCTCCCCTTCGCTCCCATGACACGGACCATCACAGATGAATCCACGATTATAAAAGTAGGTCGGTACTCCGAGCGTGAAGGCATACCCCCTGAAGGTGCCGCGGGGTCATCCTCGGCCCCTGTTGGTTTCAAGTCCAAGGTTGTCAGCCGGAAACACTGCGAATTCTCCTTCATCGGCGGCCAGTGGCACATCAAGGATGTTGGGAGCTCCTCGGGCACATTCCTCAACCACATGCGTCTCAGCCAGCCTAATGTGCCGTCGAGACAGTACGCCGTGCGGGACGGTGATATTGTACAGCTAGGGATTGATTTTAGAGGCGGTGAGGAGCTCATTTTCAGATGCGTGCGCATTCGTATAGAATGCAACCGGATGTGGCAGCAGAGAGCGAACCAGTTTAAGTATGTTGCTCATTTCTTATTTTTTTTTTTATCCGTCTTCTCAGTGGAGGGTGAACTTGCTAACAAGGCGTATAGTAAAAACACGGAAGCTCTTATAACCAATCTTGGAAAGGGCTCTATGGATGCTACAGACTATGAAGGTTGCAGGGAATGCTCCATATGTCTCGGTTCTGTCTTGGTGAGTTTGCCTGTTTGTATAATGCCAAAAAAAAAAATCTACATTCCATCTAACCAGTTTACAGCGTCCATACCAGTGCCTGTTCATGGCTGCCTGTGCTCATGTCTGGCACTACAAATGCATTCGCCGGTTGATACATTCTCCTGAATACCCCATGTTCCAATGTCCAAACTGTCGGGCATACACCGATTTAAACGCTGAAGTAGACGACTCAAACGACCCATACGAAGATAAAATCCATCCTTCCCCTAATACACAGCAGCAGCAGCAGCAGCAGCAGCAGCAACCTCAACAACCACAACTGCAACCGCAGCAACAACCCCAACAACCGCAACATTTCCCACCTCAGGCCCCCGAAAACAACACATCCAATACCAACACTCCCAGAACACATACAGCCAACAACTCAAATTCAGCTCCACCTATTGTCTATACCCACACAGAAACAGACGGAACCCTCGCTACTGCTACTGGAAACATGACCCTAGAGTCTGACCCTGAACCGGAACCGGAACCTGAACCTGAACACGAGCCATCAGACGGTCCTGACGGAGAAGTCTTTCACCCTGCTGCAGAGGCGCCATCAGTCTCTCATGCAAACGACGTCCACCGCAGCCATAACATCGACATATTATCTCCAAATTCAATTAGCGGGGCAGGCATGGGTAGAAGGAGGGTACCGGACAGAGCAAACCGAGACACCATATATGTCGAAGACCCCCTAACACCACGAAACGATACAGGTCTCCTCGCCCTCGACGGCCGTGCCGGGCGGCTCTAACCCCGAGCTTTCCTACAGCCGTTTTCTTTTTTGCATTATCCATCTCTCTTGTTGGGTCGGCATCTGTCCATCTGTCCCTGTTACACGATTTTGTCTTCTATCTTATCAACTTACTACTTATTCCCTCCTCATCGGCGTTTGAGCGACTTCATACACCATGATATCTTCGTTATCAACTCCCATTCTTTGCTCACTTCTCCTTTGTCCTTTGTCTACTCTCCTGTCCATACTATCCTTCTTTGATTCCCGCGGCAGCTCAAAAGATCCCTGCGATTACATCATGTCATATCTTTATTATTGCCTTTTTTTCTCCTGTCTCTCCTTCCACTCCTCTTGGATAAAATACATAACTCTGGAGTAAGCCAAATCACCCAATGAACTGCCCTCAAGGGGGTTATGTTTTTATACATGCCCTGCAGCAAGGAACACGCCCCCTCGTACTCTCTTAACTCTCGAACGTCGCCATCGTCAACGTAATTGCGTCCCCATAGCTGCTAACCTACTTACTCTTAGTCGGCCGGTGATTTGGCTACTGCTCGACCATATGTATACATGGCCCATCGAGGCCCACCTGAAACAGCCCCTAAGGCAGCCCTTGGACCCGTCCCCCACATGGAACCGCGCAGTGAAAGGATGAAGCCGAGACAGGGGAGAGTCCCTTTATATTTATTCTTTCGACCAGCCCGAGCTGTACATAGTTATTTATCCTCTTCCGCTGGTCGAGTCCGAGTCCTGTTATATCTTGTTTCTTTTTTACTTGCATCCCTAGGCCAGGCTTGAGGTCAGGGGCTGAGCCTAGCAGCGAAGCAGTGACTTCGCTCCTTCGCCCATCTTGCCCGTCCGTCGAAGTATCGCCGTTGCATTATTTATTTGTATCTTGTATCTCTGCAGAGGCAGCCATCCCTCAGATCATGCCGATAGAGACTGTAGCCGGCTCTGCCCAGGAGAACAGCGCCAGGCACCATGACAGACGGCCTACCTATCCCTTCAGGCTGTCCCATCGCACCAAACCGCGGAGGTACCGACCATACCATCACCCCCCTTTTTTTTTGCTTACCCCCGGCGCCCGGTTCTAATGCATAGATGAATGAATGGAATGCAGATGGCCGCTGGTTCTCCGGTTCATCAAGGGCGCTATCCACGGAGCCATCCTGCTGCCTGTGCTCGGCCATGCCATCTTCACCGTCATAGTCGTCATACTCGACAAGCATGTATTCGATACCGTGGGCGTTCCACCGACGATCGTACGTAGAGAGATCGATGCCTCGCCTTTGCTTCTGCTTGCTTCTTCCCTGCAGCCAGCCTGGATGCTAATCGTTCGACCTAGATCCCTTCGCTGTCCATCGTCGTCGGTCTCATCCTCGTCTTCCGCAACCAGACCTCCTACAATCGCTTCTGGGACGGCCGCAACTGTCTGACGACCATCACCACCGCCCTTCGTAACCTCACCCGAGCGATCCTCGTCTCTTCTCGAAACCCCAATGGCCCGCTCTCGGACGCTGAGAAGCAGGATATCGAGCGGACGATCCGTCTGCTTATCGCCTTTCCGTATGCCGTCAAGTGCTATCTGCGCGCGGAATGGAGCACCGAATGGGGCGCCATCTCCAATCCAAACATGATTGCAGACGTCGTTCGTCGACAGGAAGCCGGCGGCCCCAAGCAGGAGTTCCTCAGCCTGCTGCCTGCTGGATTCCAGGCTCACGAGGCCGACGGCCTGGGGCTGCCGCTGCAATTGACCTTCCCCATCGATGCGTTCATCCAGCGAGGCGCCGAGAGAGGCTGGTACGACCCTCCTACGGCCAACCAGATGGGCAACCAGGTCAGCGCCATGATCGATGCATACGGGAAGATGGAAACAATCAAATTGACCCCCATCCCCGTTGCTCACTTGTAAGTTTTCTTTAGCTTCTCTCTGGCTCCATCTGCGCGGAAGTAATACCCCAAAACTCCCCTAACTCGGATTATTAGGATTCACCAAAAGCAAGTTTTGGCCTTGTTCGGCTGTGTGCTTCCATTTGCAATGGTAGATGATATGGGCTGGTGGGCAGTACCCATTGTCTGTCTCGTCATCTTTACTCTTTACGGTATCGAAGGCATCGGTTCTCAGCTTGAAGATCCCTTTGGCTACGACAAGAACGATATCAAGATGGATGCCATTGTCGAAGACGAAAGGGTTGAAATCGAGGCTATCCTCAACGAGTGGAAGAAGTTGAATGACCTGCCTATAGACGGCGACGGTTCAGCTACCAACGGTGCCAGAAATGGTACCCGTAATGGTACTAGCAACGGCATTCGCAATGGAACTCATAACGGCACCCATAACGGGGTCACCAATGGAAATGTTGCTCCTCGAGAAATGTTTATCAGATCTTAGCTTTTTAGCATTGTTGACCTTCTTGGTTTGCTTTCTTGCCCCTTAAGCATGCCTCTCTCGTTTTAATATACCCGTGGCTTTAGACTATCTTTCATCTCGAGGAACCTGTCCTGCTTTCCCCTTCTTTCCTACATCTGTCAGTGTCTCAGACTCAGTTGGTGGTTAGTTTGTCGTTGCTCCTTGCCCTCTGCTCTTATGTATTTCATTCGTTTTACTGTACATCATTTTGTTTTACAAGACAACCTCGATATCCTTCTAAGGAGCCGAACCTAGCTACTATAATCTATTAGGTATGCCTCTAGTTCAACCCGATACGTGAGATATCCAGGTATATTCGTGAAAAAACAGTAATGATAAACATAATGACGAATAATATTGACATACAGAGACAAACAGGTAAAAAACAGCATCATAGTACCGTCCAAGCTAATTACCAAGTAGTCCCCTGAAAAAAAAAAGAAAGAAAGAAAGAAAGAAAGATGGAACAATACATTCTCATCTCCCATCCACCTCTTAAAACCAAAGAAAAAGAGAGGGCCGATCTGTTAGGGCAACTGACAGTACGACTTGTTGAAAATTTGGAAACGACATGCTGGTGTAGCGGTGACGAGATACGTATGTAGACTACTTATTAGGCGAGCGTGTTACATTGTCAGTTGCAGGCGGCATGATATCTTCACCGGCTTGTATTGCATGGCCAAATAGATCAACGACCGGGAGTTTCTGATATGATTCCCAGGACTCCAGAGTATCACCACTATCAGTTGATGGTGAGTATGAGGGTGATTTCTGTCGTTGCATCTCCATCATTGCGTGCCTTGACCGAGTAATTCGACCGGAGTAGGGAATACGTGGCTTATTTTCAGTTTCAATTTTGGAATTGTCCGCTTTATTTTGTTGGGATTTTGGCTTAGAAGGACCGTCATCGGTTGGCTCGCCTACTACCTGAGAGCACAAGGTTTTCATCGGCTGGTGTTCTGTGGCCTTCTTGGATTCGTTCTTTGCCTGCGCCTCTCTTTTAAGAAACGCTTCGTGCCGTGCTTGACACTGTTTTCTGCCCTCTGACAATAAAGGGAATTTGACCGCTTTTACTGGACCTGGGCGTGATTCAGTTTTCGGTTTTCCGTGGCCACATATTCGAACGATGTCACATCTTAGTCTCCAAATAGCATCAGGTATCCAGTTCTGGTAGTAGGCATACATTCGTCCGTCAACGGTTTTTAGGTTCATTGAATTCCAAAATGCGTGCGCTCGTTGGATATTTTCGAGTGTTCTTTGTTCTATGTCCCCGAGCTGGACAAGCCATATGTGCATAAGAAGCATGAGCCGTGTAAGTTGAAATTTATATCGGACCACGTTGTCCGGGTGAAGCCCGCTAGGTAAGTTGCCGAAGTAGTTATCAAAACAAATATCGGGGAACTGTATATATCAATGACCTGTGAGTATAGAACGTCGTTTACCCTGAACACTTCAATTATAAACTACCAAAAGAACCAGTGGGGGAAAAGACATGAGTACTCACGTAAAACGCTGGATTTCCCTCCTCGTCAAATCTCGCGGGACCAAAAATGCACATTTCACAGCTACTGACTTCGCCTATCGAATTGAATCTTAGAGGCTGGTCTAGCGCAGCCTCGTCCAACTCCTCTATAGCATCCTTGAACCATTGTAGCTGTGAAGGTTTGGCCGCTGCCATATTTTGGTAGGGAATTCCACTGGCTTTCCGTTTCCGTGGCAATAGGCCTAGGTGGGAGCGTGATGCTGTGGCCATGAAACAAGTAGCTAGTGCGCGCGATTTCTCCTATTTGCAAGTTCTAGGGGTTATTGACTCGGAGGGACAAAGCGGGGTCAGTCTGCAGATAATATCGTTGGCTTATGAGACCCCAAGCCGAAAATGCCGTGTGGTACACCTTGGTAATAGAATATAATATCAATCTGTGGCTGGAAACAAGGGCGTGCGGGTGATATATATATAGTGGCCGCGAAAGGTTAGCCCGCTTAGACAGCGTTCAGTGTTGTATAGAACAACACCACCATGACACTTTCTAAACTGAGACTTTTTTTTTATCGGAAGTTGCAGCCGCGGACTAGTTGCATCCTTGTCAGGAAGGTATAAAGATTGGATGCAATAACAAAGGGCATAGAATTCACAAGGGCGCTTCGACTTCAGCCAATACATCTTCAACTATGCTGTCTGGAGTTGCCGACGATAGAATCTTCTCGACAGCGTTAATATCACTGCCATACATCATACTGCGGTCTTCCTGAGGCTTTGCAACAGTGATACGATGGCGGTAAATCTTCTTCGCTGCCAAAGCCACAAGGGAAGGCGGGGCGTAGTCAACTCCATGTAGAGACGCAAGGCATCTATCCAAATTGTGAGCATCCAGAAAAGACTAGAGTAGAATTTCAATTGCCGTACTTGACCATCTTATGGAACTGGCGTGTGGCGGGGGCTGTTATTCCGCAGAATACGGCTCGATTGAAGCGAAGAAAGTTGATAATATTTTCAGTATAGCAGTATACTTCAGTAGATACCGTCACGCTCGGAATTAAGCCCCTTAAATAGTCAATTTCCTATATCGAAGGGAGTTAACATGATTTCTCAAGCTCTATGATCGTGGTTAACAGACCTCTTCCGAAATTACCACACTTTTTTCAGTCAACTTGGCTGTGTAGGATGAGTTCCAAGCAGCGGAAGATGGAAAGCCTCTTTCGTCAACTAGGGAACTACCGTCGCCTTCTAGGTTTACAAAGCCGACGGATGGATCATGATAGTGAGAGATAGATATATGTTCGTTCTTAGACACCATGTGAGCAGTATCCTATCGTTTTAAAAAAGAGAGTAACATACTAAGTGGTTGTTTAACCGAGAAGATAGCTGTCGCATCTCAGAAGCAAGAATGGGTATAAAGACAAAATTGTTGGGAACACTATATGTAGCGGTTTTGGTATGAATTCTCCTGGTGCGTAGCATCTAGGATGTCGTTTATAGTTAGCCTTGAACGATGATTAACAAGGTATCTAAAAAGAGGAAACATTATACCTCCAGTGTCTGTACTTGTATACTCTGGGAGATGTGGTCATAATTTTTGGCAATGATAACGTTGACTGTTTCATTTCTGTCATGACCCCTTGTGGAGACATCGGTATAATTGCGCTGGGAAGCTCCATTAGTCTATATTGAGGTTAAATTAAACAACTCACTGGTGGAAAAAGTAACTGCATCAAGTATGTCTTAAGGGTAGGGGTAGAGTAAAATAAATAACATCATGATTTATACTATCTTAAGCTTGCCTTTGAAACATTTTCTTCCCTTTGAAGGAGTTCGGATGGTCGTCGTCGACGTTCCAATATGGTGGTATTGAACTCTTCAAGAGATGTGTCGACAGTGCAGTCAATAACAGCAAAAGACAGGCCAAATATATCTCGAGAAATCTATTACTCTCAATAAGAATGTCTGTCGCACGCCGTACTATATAGGTCACGTACTAATATCAATTCTTTGACAAGGTCATCCAACGTGCTGGATGGGGTATCAATCAAGCAATTCTCTTTGGCAATTAAGCAAAGTAAAACAGCAAATTCGAGGTCCGTAAGGTCCTCTATCTTCTTAATTATATCGGCACGAGTATCCATTTTGCCCAAAACGTGAATTCATTCTTCAGAGAACAACATCGGGATGAATAATTAAGTAAACAAATTAGCTTGCTGGTTTGGCCTTCCTTGACGGACGTTGGTTTCTCAAACATAATCTTCCACGTGATATATGAGCAGGATTTGTAATAAAAAATATACTCCTGGTGTGTCTATTTATACAGGCCACGTGGCTGGAATAAATATTATTCCATCACGTGGAGCTTGGATCCACCTTGGCAGGTCCACATCTCTAAAGGTAAAATGGGAGAATACTCGTCCAGCAGCCCGAGACGGGAGCTTTTCAGAACTCCAAATACGTTGTTCCGACAAGCGGAGATTCGGGCCGTCATAGCTGGTTGCGGAATGCTACACTGTAGATGTATTGTTCGGCAGTTTTGCACGTTGCTCCATTATATATATTAGATGAGAAGGATTCTTTGAAGCTTAGAATTTGCTTAGACTGTAGAACCTATTGACTATATACGCCATTTAACCACTGCTCTGGCACCGATTAGAAAAGAGATCTTCTATTCCACTGCCAAATTGCTCCGTCACCATTTGAGCCCCCTATGAGCTGACCCTCTTGCTCCGATTGCGCAAGTACATCCTCCATTCAGTCGAATTGACCCATCCTATTACCGTCTGGAAGATATTTCTGGTTATCCATGCATGTTTCAACTAACTATACGGAACAAGTCTCAGAAACAATAGTCACTAGATAGTTCCATCGTCCACGACAGTTTATTATTGAAAACCACCACACCTACATCTTCTACAGGTGATTCTTGAATGTTCCACGGATCCGTGGCTGGTACGCAGCCTTTTGTATTTGTTGAGTACCAGGAATTCCGATGCTCTTAAAAATGCGTCACATAACTCTTGCCATAACCGAGCCTGATCACATATCTCAGTAAAGTCGGCCTTGGTAATCACAATACCATCTTCGGTGTTAGTAATACGTGCCTGCCTGTCCAGTATTGTCTTTCTATTGTTTATCTCTCTTTTTAGGCTCAGAGTTGGTATCCTATCATTAAACAGAAAGCAAGTATAGGGTGAATAATCTCATGGGCTTGTCTAGCCCTGTTTAATGTAGCAAGATTCCTCCTAGTATGTTTCCAGAGGTAAGTAACTCCTCTATCAGAATATTCCGCCTGGAGCATGGTAGAAGTTATGTCTATCACGATAAGCAAGCGGATTTTCGGATGGCTTTTACAACACTCCTCTACCATGAGATTGACTTTGTCCATATTGGTATAGTTCATCTACGGTTTTCCATAGAGTTTGACTTGGTGAAAGCATGCGTTTCCCATAGCCAGACTCTGGGTGCTTGGCCATGTAAGGAAAGAAGAACCCGGATATCTCCAGCCTATCATTAACTTCAAGGTGTTTTTCTTAGAAAGGTGCAGATTTCGTCAACCTCTAACAGGGATGCATCATTGAGTATAGCTCTAATCTGAGCACTGAGGTCCGAAAGAGCATTTCTGGCGAATTTGAAAGGCCAGTATCGTGAGAAAGTATGCTACATGAGCTGCTCGCCCAAAGGGCCAAACATTTTATGAGGTATTCGGACTATAGCGTTAAGCATGGTCAATGTACCTGTTTGTATGTGTTGGCACGTTACATACCCAGTAAGCGATATCGATTATAAATTATATTTCCGGTCTTGTAGGCGAGCGTTGACGAGGAAGTTGAGGGTTGAATTTGAAACTTATGGGGAAAGAGTGTATTTTATAACGTAACCGATACCACAGCTAACTAGCTATTAATTACCACTAGTAAAATAAATCACGTCCTCCCGTTGTTTCGACGTCGAACGCAGGGAGACAAAACACCTGTCAAGCGCAGAGATCAGCTCGGACACTAGAATCAGAAAGCTGACTGCTGTGCAACTGTTCATCCACTTGGAAGCGCGTTGGCTGGCATCGATAAAGCTATGAATACAGCTGAAAGATGACGCCTCCGAATCCCCTCGCTGACTGGGAAAGAGTTGGAGACCAGTTCTATAGAAAGTCCCGGATCTATGACGCCGTTTTTGATGAAGATGTTGAGTTAGAGAATTATATTGCCGTAGGTGCTCCTTACGGTGGCGCTATAGGTATTCTCACTGTCCATATTCGTATTGAAAACTTATTCTCACCTAATCTCTATAGCTCTCCATCGGGACGAAAGAAGGCTGCAACGATACAGAGATGCTCAAACATCGAAGTCAAGCATTGACATCTATTCATACTCAGGACAACGTATATGTCGAATAAATGTAAGCTGTTATATCATTTCATTAGTTCACACATTTCTCAAAATGAACTGACACTTGCGCAGTGGGATCATGGGTCCATTCGAGGCCTAGGATGGTCCGAGGACGAGAGATTGCTAGCCGTCACTGAAGACGGTACGGTCCGTTGCTACTATGGCCTCAGCGGGGACTTTACTCCGTTCTCATTAGGATCCGTAAGTAAATGATACATCTTTTCTTCTGCTCGCGTCAATATTAACTGGTTCTCAGATGGCGGAGGAGTATGGCGTAGTTGGGTGTCGATTTTGGTCTGCCGGGTTTGTTGCTTTGCTATCAAATAACCAACTTGTTGCAGTATCACATTATGATGAGCCGCGCCCGAAGTTGCTAGCTCAATCTCCAGAAGGCGAGATTAATTCATGGTCATTGATTCCACCCACGTATACCCTTTCCAGGTCGGTTGAGGTCTTGCTTGCAATAGACAAATCTATATATGTTGTGGATGCAGCAGACTCTGAGGACCGCATGCTACAAAATGGGCCCTTTAAGCACGTTAGTGTGTCACCGAATGGACTTTTTGTGGCCTTGTTTACTGGGGACGGAAAACTATGGGTCGTCAGCAGCGATTTCCAGAACAAGTTCAGTGAATATGATTCTCATGCTAAAACGCCTCCTGGTTCCGTGACTTGGTGTGGGAACGATGCTGTTGTTCTTGCCTGGGAAGATGAAGTTCATGTGGTTGGACCAAATGGTGCTTCGGTGAAGTATTACTCCCTATTCGTACCTATTTTACGACCAATTCTAACAAGAGGATATATTAAAGGCACTTTTATGATGGTCAAATCCACATAATTCCTGATATTGATGGAATCAGAATTTTAACAAATGATGTGTGCGAGTTTCTGCATAAAGTACCGGGTGGGTTTCAAGGTTACTCTAGTTGATCTAAGTATACTAACACGAATCAGATGCCACTGAGGAAGTCTTCCGGCTTGGGTCAAGTGCGCCAGCTTCGGTTTTACTTGACTCTGTTGAGCAGCTTGAGAAGAAATCACCCGCCGCGGATGAAAATATCCAGAGAATCCGTGCTAACCTTGTCGAGGCTGTGGATACATGCGTACGCGCTGCCGGGTATGAGTTTAATACTTATTGGCAAAAGCAGTTACTCAAGGCAGCTTCCTTTGGGAAATCCATTCTAGAACTTTACAACAGCGACGAATTCGTCGACATGTGTGAGAAACTCCGGATCTTGAATGCTGTCCGTGATTATAAGATTGGCCTACCAATTTCGTACGAGCAGTACATGCGGCTTACTCCCGAAAAGCTCATCGAACGCCTGATAAACCGCCGTGAATATCTTCTGGCTATTCGTGTCTCGGAATATCTACACCTTCCTGCGGACAAGATCTTCGTTCACTGGGCAATTCAGAAAGTCAGATCATCCACTGAAGACGATGACACAATTTGCCAGATAGTTGTACAGAGACTTCAAGGAAAGCAAGGAATATCCTTTGAGTCCATTGCTCGATCAGCTCATGAGGAAGGCAGGTCGCATTTGGCAACGCAGCTGCTAAACCATGAACCGCGTGCTGGGAAACAAGTTCCACTTCTTCTCAGCATGGAAGAAGACACTCTCGCACTCGACAAGGCAACTGAGAGCGGAGACACAGACCTTATCCTGTTTGTCCTTCTTCAGCTTAAACGCAAACTGCCTCTAGCTACCTTTTTCCGGACATTAAATAACCGACCGGTAGCTTCAGCGCTGGTTGAGGCGTCCGCAAGGCATCAAGACGAAGAGTTATTAAAAGATCTGTATTACCAGGATGACAGGGTGATTGACGGGTCGAACATCCATCTTAAAGATGCCTTGAAACAAACGGATCTACACAATAAGACTGAAAAACTACGGGTTGCCGCAAGGCTGCTATCAGATTCCAAAGACACAGCCGTCCAGGCACAACTCAAATCATTGAATGATGCAGCATACCTCCTAAAAATCCAGGATGGGCTGGATAAAGACCTTGCAGATAATAATGATTTGTTTACGGGTCTGAGTGTTAACGAAACCATCTACAGATTAATTCGTTCTGGATATGGAAAACGAGCCATTAAAATCCAAAACGATTTCAAGGTGCCAGAAAAGACATACTGGTGGTTGCGCTTGAGAGGTCTTGTTGCGAAAAGAGATTGGGGTGAACTAGAGGATTTAAGCAAGACCAGAAAGTCCCCAATCGGATGGGAGGTAAGCTAACTATCCTCTCGAAGCAGGCATCCCCCTCCTTTGTTTTAATTGTCGCTCCTTTGTCAAACTTGCTCCGCCTAGAAGCTAACTTTATGACAATGATAGCCCTTTTACAACGAAATTCTCTGGGCAGGAAACACAAAGCTTGCATCCGTGTTCATCCCCAAGTGCGTATCGTTGACAGTGTCTGAACGGATCGAGATGTGGATGAAGTGCGGCATGGTGACGAGGGCGGGCGAAGAGGCTCTGAAGGCAAAGGACCTGAAGGCTCTCGAAAACCTTAGAGTCCGCATTACCGGCAATTCTGTGCTAGAAATTGACCGCATGATCAACCAATTGAGGCCAAAGAGATGAAGTATTATTGAATGCGCGTTGTTGGCTTAGTGAATTAGGTGATGTCTTCGTCGAGCTCGAGCGCAGTTTGCTCCGCTGTCTCCGTTGGGATATGTATCGAGGCCTGAGGCGCAGGAAGCGTTGTCTCGGCCTCCATTTCGTCCATGTCATCAATATCTACATCCTTAGTCTCTTCTTTTCCTTTTTCTGGCGCACGATTTATCTTCTTGTTCAATTCATCCCATGTTGCCTGCCGTACGTGTGCTCAGTTAGATTCCCCTTCAATAATAGAGGGCTTCTGCCGTTTCTCACCTTTCGGGCTTTGACGCTAGAAAACTTGCGAACGCTCTTGGTAACTTTTTTTTCTCTTTTATCAAGGACTACCTCTGCTCGTTCCAAGCCCTTTTCCTGCCGGAGTCGTTGGGCTCTTGATTTTGGTTTCTTGCTCTTCTTTGACACCCCAGAGTTATGCTGAGTTCCAAGGACGGCTGGAACCGAGGTGCTAGTCCTCTCTGCCCGGGGAAGCGAAGTCAATGACTTGTCAACGTTTACAGATGGCGAAACCTCTCGTCTCGCTGCTCGGGAATGTACTGATTTTGCTATTGGCACTTGTTAGCTGGTGTCTTCATCAAAAACAACAGTTCTTGAGCAGTAAAATCACCCACATCTTCCATTGGACTTCAATTTAGGTGTTTTCGCCATCCTGCATCAACCTATTTCTTCGCGATGTTCCAAAATAATCCTTTCAAACGTCCTGTGTTTGATTGTAATTCAGATTTCTTGATATCTTTCTTCATTCTGTGTGGGGGAATAAAAAGAAAATACAAAAAAAAAAAAAATCCCGGTTAGGCAGAAAGACCAGTGGCGCAACTTTTTTTTAGTTGAACATTTCATCGACTTGCGCCTTCTGAGTGACCCTCAAACATCAAGCCGTCGCAGAAGACTCTCCGTGACAACAGCAGCTCACCACCTCGCCGACCTGCGGAAAGATGCTTGATGCGAGACCCAGGACACCGTCTGAGACGTCAAGATATGCCGGCTAGTGGCAGTCGCGCCTGCGCATCTCCCTAAGAGCTCCGACCACGCATTCTGTGACAGCCAACTATGAACTCCTACCCGGGTTACCACTACCCTCCCAGACAGCGATCCAGCATACGCGGAAACCACCATGATCCTCCTTCCAGACACGCCGGCGACAGGACTTCCTTGATATACGCTCTTGTTTCTCTGGCGTCCGTCTACTTCCTTCTCTACACCTTTGGTATCTCGCCATACTTTTTTCCTCGGCTGGTCTGGAAAATCGTCGTCTACTGGACCCCGTCGCGGCTTGTGGCTGCTTTGGATAAGGACAAAACACAGAAAAGTTCGGCTTCGGACGAGACTTATACAGGTTACCGAAATTTGTATGAAAAGGGTCAGGCAATGCAGAGAATCCTCGGTCACACCACAACTTCCATTATCCCGTTGCTTCCACGGTCAAGAGCGTACACCAGCCTCAGCAGTGTGCTATTGGGGTCCAACGATGTCTATCCCGCGGGGCTCGGGAACTGGGATAACTCCTGCTACCAGAATTCCATAATTCAAGGCCTTGCTTCCCTTCGTTCTTTGCGAGAATACCTGGGATTGAACATCCAAAACCTGGGGCACCGCCACCCCCTTTCAACACATATTGCTCTGAGAGTGATCATCGACAAGCTTAATGATCCCGAAAACGCTGGCCAGAAGTTGTGGTTGCCTGCAGAACTCAAGTCTATGTGCAGCTGGCAGCAACAGGACGCCCAGGAATATTTTTCCATCATCGCAGACCAAGTGGATAAAGAGATTCGTGGAGCATCAAAGGGGATTACCAGTGATATTGGCCTCAAGACAGTTCGGCAAGATGGTCATCGCGCCGAAGTTACCCTACCAAGTCCTCCTTTGACCGAAGATGGTGATGAGCCAGATACTGATCGGAGCTGCGTACCTTATTGTAGCCCGATGGAGGGGCTTCTGGCTCAGAGAGTGGGGTGTATGGAATGCGGCTGGACTGATGGCCTCTCGCTTATTCCATTTAACTGCCTGACGGTTTCTCTGGGCAAAAATTGGGAATACGATATCAGGGAATGCCTTGACGATTATACTAGCTTAGAAACCATCGAGGGTGTGGAATGCGCCAAATGTACCTTGCAACGGACACAGGCGCAGCTCGAACAGCTGCTAGGCAAAATTGACCCAGTGGAAGAATCACAGGAGGAAACAGACTCCGGAAAACTTAATGTAGCATTGAGAAGAAATGCCGAATCGAGGTTAAATGCAGTTCTTGAATCGCTTCAGAATGACGATTTTAGCGAAAACACACTGAAGGAAAAATGCCACATCTCTTCGCGCAATCATGTCGCCTCAACGAAGTCGAAGCAGGCAGTAATTGCAAGGCCACCGAAATCTCTAATTATACATGTCAACCGCAGTGTCTTTGACGAAATGACGGGTACACTAAGGAAGAACTATGCAGATGTGAGGTTTCCAAACTATCTGAATTTAGATGAATGGTGTTTGGGTGCCATGCCAACAAACGGCGACTCCAAGGAAGAGGTCGTCGAAATTTGGGGCATAAATCCCTCTGAATCGATGCTCCCTCGGCCTGAAAGCGAAGTCAACAGTTTCGATAGAAGATATGAGCTACGAGCTGTAATCACGCATCACGGACGTCACGAGAACGGCCACTACATTTGTTACCGAAAATATCCTGTGGAGTTGTTCCCTATTGAAGTTCCCCAGCCCGTCATTGAGGCTGATGGGATCAAGAAAAAGAAGGAACACTGGTTCAGGTTGAGTGATGAGGATGTCACCTTGGTTAGCGAGAGCAGTGTTCTCGCCCAAGGGGGTGTTTTCATGCTCTGCTATGAATTGGTAGGGTCATCGCCTGAAATTAGCAGGGGTATCTCTCAAGCAATTTCCAGCAGAAATACCAAGTCCATTAGTGAATCGCAGGTGGCTGAAAATGGCATACCACTTGGAGAGTTGCCACGCAGGCCCGGAAGTACTGCAGAGTCTCGGGCAGACGAGACTGACTGGTCTAGGAGAACCAACACCGATTCCATATCATCACACACTTCGAAACTTTCTGAAAACAGCAGCCAGTCTTCGATTGGCACTAATGAGGAGCCGGTCATCGACAACAGGTCACAGAAACTGGCCGCGCCTATGAAAACATCGAACGGGCCAAATATTGTCTCGCATGAGAATCCAGGTGCCTCCTCGGTACCACAGCTGATAAAAGCCCTATAGTAGAAATGAGACTCGAAGAAATATGCCGACTTTTCTGGTATATGTCCCTGAATGCACTCTCTCTTCTATCTAATGATACTCAGGATCATCATGATACCGGCGTTGGTTCACTCCTTATTTGCTATTTCTTGTTCTCCTGGTGCACTTTCTGGCATGGTGTTTTGCTTGTATAATATGTGCTGTTCTGCATGACCAGGCAAGTAGTAACAGCTAAGACCGAGCTGTTCGGCCGGCAGTTTCTATTCGTTCAAAAGCAGTATATAATGTTCCTGGAAGACGATGTTTGATTTCTAGTTACGAATCAAAGACAGCTTGCCGTCCACACGATGTGAAACCAAAGTGACACTTCAAGTAAACGTTATCTCTTCATGGGTACTGATCCCTTTTTTTTTTTTTTTTTTATATGTAAGTGCCTTGTCTCTTCTTAACCAGGTATTGCCCAGGTATAGCTCAAAACACGCCAGCCCTCTTCATGACATCCTTGAACTGCTCGATCGTGACACCCGACTGTATCCCATCCCCTCCGTTGGCTTCTCGAATCATGTCCTTCATCAACTCCTCACTCACGTCCTCCTTCAAACTCTTTGCAACAGCCCTTAGATGAGACATAAGTATAGGCCCCTCTGTCCCATGTGTGAACAAGCTATACGCATGCTCAACCTCCGCAGATATCGAGTCTTCGCTCCGATTATGTAGTTTCAGCGCCGCCACGGATAGAAAATGCTCGTATATGACGAACCCTTCACCCGCCGGATCTACAGCAGAGATAACAGACTTCAACTCGGCGTTGTCAGTTGGCGCAAGGCCCAAAGCTCTGTGGCATCCAAGGCATATCAGTAACTGTTTTAAATAGGTAGCGTTAAGTCCTTTGATCGTCTCACATCAACGCCCGACGCACATCTCGGGTCGCAATAACGCCCTCTTTCTCCGAAGCATACTCTTCATTATCGGTCACTGCGAATAGATGGAAGGCTTCTCTGATCTCTGCTTCTTCTTCACTAGTAATATTATTCTCTTTCGCGAGCTTCGAAAGCCGCGGTTTCTTGTCCTTCGGCCCTGCAGACGAGGCTGCTGTACCTCGACGTTTCGGAGGCTGCGGATCGCATCAGTTAGTCTTCTATTGGAAGTAACATATGTAGTACAGGGTAGAAAGGGTATTGACGTACCATGCTTCATGACATCTTCATCCGTCTGAAGAGAGTCGCGGTTAGTTGATCCTCAAGCCTTCAAAGCTTGGCCCAGCGTTTTCACGACGTCAACTTTCTTTTAGGCGCTTCCTCGTACTCCTTAGGCGCCGTCTCTAGGCCTTGCTTTAACTAACCCAAGCGGACTCTTAGGGGCCGACCTTTAACTAAAAGAAACTATGCGAGGACGTCTTGGCGGCCTGCTTTAACTGAAAGCCACCGAAGAAGAGACGCGGCCTCTTGCTGCCTTGTCTGTCGACTCTCCAGCGGGGCATAAATATCTCTACATGCCTGATAAATGCCTAGTTAATATCATTTACGCCCAATATTCAGTTCGAGATGGATGTTATACTATACGTTTATGACCTCTCTAAGGTGACCTAACGTCCCATGCCCGCTATGCCTCCACACCTGCTAACCGTGATATAGGGACTTGCCAGAGATGTATGCCAGGGATTTGGCCTTTCTCTCCTCTTCTGGCCGAATACACAAGCTAACGGAGATCCTTCTAGCTTTCTCGTCCATTGACAGGCGTGCAGATAGATGCAATATACCATACGTCCATAGTTCTGGACGGGACAGAATACTTCTTTGGTAGAGGTATCCAGCAAGCGGCTCCTGGCTCAACTCATCACGGCCAGCCGATGGAGACGATTAACCTGGGACGCACTGACCTACCCTTGGACATGATATCAGAGTACATGGAGTCATTGGCTGAGACTTACCATGAGAGTGTATGAGATACCCATCCACCTTCATACAAAAATTTGAGGCGGAGCTCTAACATTCTACTCATCTCAGTCATACGACCTGTTCCTTCGAAACTGTAACAATTTCACCCATGACTTGGCTATGTTTCTTGTTGGCAAGGGGATTCCAGATCACATCAGAAATCTCCCGGAGACCTTTCTTAATACCCCCTTCGGCCAGATGATGAAACCTTACATTGATGGTATGCTCCGCGGGGCTACCCAGGGACCTGATATTCAGCCTGTGCCTGCATCCTTACCGGCAAGCGCAGCAGTAACGGAGACCAACGTAGCCCAAAAGCCTTCTAAAGACCAGGTCCGGAATGCCTCAACGCTTAGGGAGGTCGAAAGTCTACTTGCATCTGCAAAATCCTCGTGTGCTGTAATATTCTTCACTTCCTCCACCTGTCCTCCCTGCAAAATAGTATACCCAACCTATGACGCACTCGCAGAAGAAGCTGGCAGCAAAGCCGTCCTAATAAAGGTGGATATCAGCCGAGCATATGATGTGTCTTCTCATTACCAAGTGAGGGCAACTCCAACTTTTATCACCTATCTAAGGGGCGAAAAGGAGAATCAGTGGTCTGGCGCAAATACAGCAGAACTTCGAGGAAACGTACAGCTGCTTCTACGGATGGCCTGGCCGCCGCACCCTCACTCCAGCCTCAAACTTCCTAGTTTGGAGCGTCATATTGATCAATACATTTCCTACAAGAAGTTTCCCCCCTTAGATAAACTATTGTCAAAGGTCGGAGCTGCTGCTGGCGATGCTAATATCGTTGCCTTGGTCAACTTTATCAAAGCATCAAATACCGACCAGTCAAAACCTCCATTGCCGGACCTCAGCCAACTTACCTTCTTTGTGAAGACAAAGTTCCTCTCTCTTCCGGTAGAAACACATTTTGCCATTCTGGATCTTTTTCGAGTCGCATTTTCCGACCCGAGAGTTAGCGGATACTTTGCTGAGGAACACGGCCATGGAACCATATTGACTCTCATGTCCCGAGCGAATGATCTTGCAGACACTCAATACAACCAGCAGCTTGTTATGACACATCTAGCGTGCAACCTGTTTACATCTCACCTCTACCTAACTCAGCTTTCAAGTCATGACGCCCTCCGCCACACCTGCATCAAGCTTGCAACAAATGCCCTCCTAGACCACCGCAGCAGTCTCAGGGCAACGGGCACATCTCTTATCTTCAACCTTGCCGCGGCTAATCATAATAAAAGGCTGCTTGATCCACCGGAGGCGGAAAGTCTACTAGAAGCTGACCAGTTTGAGCTAGTTGCATCAGTAGTCGAGGCTATCCGGGCTGAGAAGGAGAGTCCCGAAACCCTGCACGGCTTGCTTCTATCACTAGGCCTCCTAGTACACCATGCACCAGTTGGTGGCGAGGTGGTAGAGCTATGTAGGGCGCTGGAGGTCGAGTCGATAATATCAGAGAAGATGGCAGTCGATGCTTTCAAGAAGGAGAAGGCCCTGTTGCAGGAGATCGGCAAGGAGCTCATTGGTAAAGGCCTCATCCTGAACTAGCTGGTATTTATCCATCTTTGTCCCACTTCTAGACATCGTTTCATATATCACGTAGCTACCTATCGTAAAACCAGCTCTCTCTCTCTCTCTCTCTCCATCTCCATCTCCATGTCCCGTCCCATCATCCCCAGATACATAAAACCATATAACCAAACCTAAACTAAACACCCGATCACGTGACTGTTACCCTGGCAACGCCGGCCTCTATCAAAGTAAGCAAAGCCGCGAACTAGATAATCCAGAACAGCCTGTGAGACGGAGCAGATCAACATCCTCAACGCCCGCCATAAAACAGGCGCTTTTCTCAGGCTGTCCGCCAGAAGGTCAGACCGATTCCTGCTGTCTCTGCACTCGCCGCGATCCTTGAGCCGTGAGTTCCTCTGTTTTTCGTCCTCTCCGCCACCAGAACACAAAGAAACAGCAACGGAACTTCCCCAGCTTTTTTCTTCTACAGGGGAAGCGCCTGTCACAGGATTCCAAGGGGCTAACACCTGGTGCTTTTAGGGAGCTCACGAAGCAGTCCTTTTCCGCGAGAAAAGCTATATTAGCATTGATATCCCCCCAGCGCTCCTCGTTTGCCCGTTGTTATAATGCGATTGTCCCTGTGACAGCAGCTTCCTTTGACCACCTGCCACCGCCCCCAAGATACAAAGGTAACGCTACATTATTACTCCACAACTTATACCAACATCCACACGGGAGACGCCGAGCGAGGCCAGGTCTCTTCCTCTTACACCCATCCCTCCACACCTCTTCCACATCACAGCATTCATTCATTCTTTCTTTCTTTTCTTCTTATCTTTCTCCTCACTCTACATGTTTCATAACCACCTTTCTCGACTTCATGACATTCTCTCCGAATTTGCCCATATATTAAAGTCCGACAGTAGGAATATGGCTCTGGATCCACGCTTCTACAGCAACATTGGAGGCCAATCTGATCACTTTGCGCCCCAGGGCAGAGTTTGCACTCCGCCAGTCGAGTCTCCGGCACAATATTATTATCCCGGCGCGACACCAAGTATGGCCTCCTTTACATCTGCATCATCAGCCGCGTTAAGATCGACCGCGTCCACACCTTCATTTCGATCGAGAGAAAGCGTCATGGTACCCGCACCTAAGTGTGACGCGCCAATAAGTAGCGGAGGAAACGTCAAGGTCGTTGTGCGTGTCAGAGCATTTTTGCCGAGAGGTTTGACCCCCTCCATGTTCCACGTTTGGAGGCAGATATTCTACTTTTCAAGCTCAAATCTAACGTAATTTTGTAGAAATAAGTAATGGGACGGAATGTTTGGTTTCGATGAACCCTCGGACGCAATCGACGACGTTGTCTGCACCATCTTCTGCCAATGCGAATGTCGCTAATGCGAGAGCCCAGAGCAGAAGTAAAGCTGTTGAAGAGAAGAGCTTCACATTTGACAACTCCTTCTGGTCACACAACAGGGCAGATCCACATTATGCTGAACAGGAGGATGTTTATAATTGTCTGGGTGAAGAGTTTTTGGACCACAACTTTGAAGGATACCACACCTGTATATTTGCATATGGACAGACGGGCTCAGGGAAGAGTTATACAATGATGGGTACTCCAGAGCAGCCTGGACTGATTCCTCGAACATGTGAGGATCTATTCCAGCGCATTGAGAACTCAAACTCGCCGGATATTACCTACAATGTCCGTGTTTCCTATTTTGAGGTATACAACGAACATGTCCGTGACTTGCTAGTTCCTCGAACAGACCCTCCATATTATCTTAAAATCCGAGAGTCTCCCACAGACGGACCATATGTGAAGGATCTAACGGACGTACCAGTTCGGAACATTGATGAGATTATGCGTTACATGCGGAAAGGCGATGCATCTCGCACAATTGCCAGTACGAAAATGAACGATACCAGCTCGAGATCGCATGCTGTTTTCACGATTATGCTGAAGCAGATTCATCACGACTTATCTTCTGATGAAACTACAGAGAGAGTTGCCCGTATCCGGCTGGTAGATCTTGCAGGTTCCGAAAGGGCCAAATCCACGGAGGCAACTGGAAAGAGACTGCGAGAGGGTTCAAATATTAACAAGTCATTGACCACATTGGGCCGCGTAATTGCGGCTTTGGCAGACACTAAACAGCGCCAAAATGGACGCAAGACCAAGGATATTGTTCCCTACCGAGACTCCATTCTCACCTGGCTCCTCAAGGACAGTTTAGGAGGAAATTCAAAGACTGCGATGATAGCATGCATTGCCCCAGGAGACTATGACGAGACACTCTCGACACTTCGCTACGCCAACCAGGCCAAACGCATCCGTAACCGTGCTGTTGTCAACCAGGACCATATATCTGCTGCACAACGAGACGCTGAAATCGCGGAAATGGCCGAATTGATTCGTACGCTGCAGCTCAGCGTCAGCCAGCAAGCAGTAACGAAACGAGAAAGTGAATTACAAACTGAAAAACTAGAAGAGTACCAAAAACAGGTGACCAGGATGCAGCAGTTGATGGAAGAAATGAAGATGGTCAGTGAAACCAAGATCAGACAACTTCAGACCGAAAACGAGGCTCTCCGACTTCACCTGAAACTGGCACTAGAGAGTTTGAAGAACCCTATACCCCCGGTACAAGTACCCAAACAGAGAAACAGACAGAGTAGTGTCCGCTCCTTGCTCGCAAAGGATGAGAGCAACATCGAAATACTGGAGGAAGAGGCAGAAAAGGAAAACACCGCCCCTCCCGGCCTCGATGACCAGATAGGAGACAAGGAACCTGGATTGAGCCGTTTCGACCTGGAAGCCCTTGAAGTCCAGGCTGAGATGGAAGACCTTCTTTCCGACCTGAACATGTTCCGCAAAAAGCTTGCTGACGACTGTGAACGATTCGGCGTCAAGAAGAGACCTGCTCGGCCCAGCCATGCTGCCAGAAAGGTGCTCGGTGAACTTGAAGCCAACAACAACTGACGATGAACGACAAACCTATATGACGAGAAACGAGACCTCTGACCTCACTCACTTTTCTACTTCAAACGGATACGATCCTTTCTTTCCCAGGGGGAGCCTGAGGCTTTTTGGTTATGCTAGTGGTGTTTTCAATGCCGCAAGGCAGGACGGGCGCGGAGTACTTGCATGTTGAAATGTTCGAGCTGTTCTTTTCCTTCTTCTTCTTCTTCTTCTCCCCCCCTTTGATACACCACCTTACTTTTTCTATTTTCCCTTTTGTGATATTTCCTTGTCGACTGGTGGAATTGGCAAGATAGCCTGTGAATAAATAAATGAACAAGGGCTGTCACCGGGTCCTAATATTAATTATTGAACCTGACTGCTCTTCACTGTAATGATAGTCACTCACGTACATGTATATATCTCCATCTCTGCTGTGGCCTCTTCTACAATCTGCCCTGTCCTGCCTGTCTTGGCTGCGGTTGTTGTGTCTGATAGCTTAAAGAGTGTCCACCATGACTCAACTTCCGCCGCCAGCACAATATCCGCACATCACCACAACCACCACCGTAACCGTCTTCGCAATAGAAGAAGACTCGAGGGCTACGGCCAGTGACTGCAGCAGCGAGCAGCTTGCCATCCCAATATCCGACAGAGCTACTACTATGGCAACCCGGCAAGATCAAGAAAGCGCTCCAGCTCCGCACGCGGCCGCGACACAGCCAGGTGCGCAATCTACTCCACCAGCCGACACAGCACCAGCAAAAACGCCAAAGCCCGCCAGCGCTCAAAAACAGGCAAAGGAGAAACCAGCTGCTCCAGATGGTACAGAGAAGCTCTCCGGCGCTGAACTGAAGAAACGAGCAAAAGCCGAGAAGGCTGCGAGGCGCGCGAAGGAGAAACAGGAGCGTCCTCGTCCCACAAGCGAAGACCAAGAAGACGATACTGCTCCTTACGCTGCTTCTACTGGTTCAACCGTTTCTTCGGCTACTTCAACACCGCAAGGCCCGCTGACGCCAAAGAAGGCTGCCTCTGTTAAATCGGATACTTTGAAGTCGTCGAGCAAGTCGTCAACAACAAGGCATGGATCAGTACATACGTTACCTACCCCGCCTGCGCCGGTAGAGTCGACATCGTCTAAGAAGAAAAGGAGAGAAGTCGTTGACGAGAAGGTCGTTGCTGTCTTTGGCCATTTGCCATGGTATACGAGGAGGACTGGAATCGCGGGCGCAAACAAGGACGTTCATCCTGCGGTGCTGTCTCTTGGAATGCAGATTAAGGACTACGTTGTTTGTGGGAGTAGCGCCCGCTGCGTTGCTACACTTTTAGCATTCAAACGGGTATGTCAACCTTTAGCTGTCAATTTTTCTGCGTGAGGGGAACTGATCACTGATTGTTTCCGTTCAAGGTTGTTCAATCATACATTACACCTCCAGGAACATCCCTAACCAGACACCTGACAACTCATCTGGGCCACCAAATTGCCTTTTTGGCAAGTTGCCGACCCCTTGCAATCAGTCAGGGAAACGCAATCCGTGCTCTAAAGCTGATTGTCTCGTCCATTGACCCTTCTGTTCCCGAGCCGGATGCTAAACAAGAGATTTATGATTTCATCGACAATTTTATTCGTGAAAAGATCACTGTTGCAGGCCAGGTCATTGCCAACAGTGCTGCCGGGAAGATTGATGATGGTGACGTTATACTTTGCTTTTCCGGCAGCAGTGTGATCCAGAGGACGTTGCTTACTGCACATAAGCAAGGGAAAAAATTCCGTGTCTCGATCATTGATACCCGTCCTTTGTTCGAAGGGAGAAACCTTGCCCAAACCCTAGCTAAGGCTGGACTAAGGGTTCAATATTCTCTTATCAACGGAATAAGTCAGGCTGTCAAAGATGCGACGAAAGTTTTCCTCGGTGCGCATGCCATGACCAGTAATGGCGGTTTATTCTCTAGGGTTGGCACTGCTCTAGTAGCTATGTCGGCCAAGGAAAAACCGGGAGGTATGAACATTCCTGTCATTGTATGCTGTGAAACTATCAAATTCACCGACCGTGTTGCGCTCGACAGCATAGTTGTCAATGAGATAGCTGAGGCCGATGAGCTGGTTGCTGCCGAACCATGTACAACACTTACAGACCTCCCTCCGCCAGTCACAAATGTCAAGCCCGAAACATCCAAGGGCTCTTCATCTTCTGCTATTGAAATACCAGCACACTTGAAAAACCCAAAGCTTCCCCTCGAAAATTGGCGCGAGATGCCTAACCTGCAGCTCTTGAATATTATGCACGATCTTACCCCTGCGGAATATGTTGACATGGTTGTCACAGAGATGGGAAGTTTACCACCTAGCGCTGTCCCTGTTGTCCACCGAATGAGCACAGAAAATCAGAGCTAAACTGGTAAGCACCTAGTTAGCCGTGAAGTACTGTGCATTCAAGGGCTCTAAATGGCAACTTTTATCAGTCCAACGCAAATGAGCACCGGGTTGATCGCGTTGATGATCGCGAAGAAGCCGATATCGGTTTTTTATTACCTTCTGTATTCGCGATTTAGTCTGTTGGCAACGAGGATCCTGCGTCGTGTCTGTATTTATTTTATACGTCCCAGCGTCCTTCTTTGCGTTGATTTACAAGGGTATGAAGCATACAATCTGTGGGTATGTGGCGTCATGGATACAGATGATAATGGTCACTAAGTTGCTATGGGTTTTTGCTGGGTTTTTTCGAAAGAAAATATGAATAAAAGATTCAGACATCTGGCCATTGCGTCGGGAATCGTGCGGTGATTTTACCACGTGACTGTAACTAAAGTTAAACAGTGAGGCTCAACTTTAAAATAGCTTGATATCAACAACATGAGTTTGCGAAGTACGAAAGCACAAGAAATATAGAAGATAACCCTGATAAAATAAGGAGATGGTACATAGGAATCCTCCAAATCCATTTATCTGCAGAAGAGTGTTTAATTAGCTAACCTACTCAAATAGTCCAAAGACTCTTCCGCGACACACCTCCACCTCCACCATCCGCGGTTGGCGGATGTGTTTGAAGACTTCAACCGCCCACATACCTCGTTATTCACTCCTTCGTCCATGAAAACATCCGATTCCCAGCAACAACAACAAATAAATGCAATGAATGACTTTTCATCTCCCGCCAACATTCCCTCATTTCTCCCTATAGAGGATATATTCGTGCAGCCGCAGTTCCAACCAGTTAATCCCGAAGATGAAGACGATGTTGTGCCGGACCAGCATGCTGCATTTGGCATTACTAGAGCCATGGACTCAAGGAGGCAAGTCGCGTGGCGGGATTTGGGACTAGAAGAGCTGATGAGTGGTATGCGGTTGGTGCAAGGGGAGAGAGGCGAAACCAGGCCTGCTGGAAGAGGGAATAATATTGGGCTAGGCGCAAGGGGCGGCACAGCAGCACTTCCGGGAAGTGACGCAAGGAGGCGAAAGCGGATGGTTTGTTTAAGATGATAATACTACATCCGGCTGTCACTGAATTTTCGGCCGTAGCGGTTTTCGTTTTCTATGGAGTAAGATAGATACCCGGGGTGTGTTCCGGATTCATATATTTTTACATGTTCTCATCAATATTTCATCACAGCGACCAGACTCTGAAATAATAAACAGTAAACGACAAAATCATGTGGAATATGCGTTTAGATGCGAATTATATCAACCCTTGCCCTCTCGTACACTTTGTGCCCTACAAATTTCGACTCCCGTTCTTCTTCAGTGAGCCTTTTAGGATGAACAGCAATTTGTGCATATGTTCCAGGACCTCGCCGCTTGGATAATTTCCCGGGGTTAATGACAAGAACACTTTCAACAACCTAAGTTGATCTATTAGACAACACATAGAAATATGCGAAGATGAGCTATGCTGACCTTGACAAACCCCGGCAGAACGCTGGGGGTTATTAGGATATCTGGTCTTGCCTTCCACCAATCTCCAAGCTTAAGATATCTAGTATCAAGCATAGATCCTATTTGAAGATTTTCTTCAACACCAGATTTCGGGAGATTTTCTCGTGCAGTTGGAGGGAAAACTGGAGAAAAATGCCTCTGCTCAATTAGATATCTTGGCAGACGGCTCAATAGATCGCTTTCACTTGGCCGCCCACCCACTACTTCCTCTCGTCTCAGTTCATACAGTGAGTCAGAAGCACAGAGGCCCACCATGATTTCGTTTAATGAGATAGCCACAGGGTTTGTGACGACTTTCGCCTGTTTAGGAGGCAGGCCCAGTTCTTTTTTAGGAAGGATTTCCTGTGGCCATGAAACATGCTTGCTAACGGCATCTCGGACTGAAGGTATCAGTATTATGTATATATTCGGTACCTTTGAAGCAAGCTGGGTCAATGGTCGCGAGATGCAGTGTTGAAAAAGGGTGGTGAGGGTGGCAGTATCCGGATCCAAGCCCTTCAACTCCGGAAGGTCAAAATCACCCGACGCAATAAGGGGGTGCTCCAAGTCTATGAACGGGCCCAGTAATATGAGCGTATCAACACATTCTTCCGCAGCTTTCTCACAGAGGGTATTTAGAGCTTCAAACGCTAAGTTATCATCTGTTGTATAAGGGCCAGCGGCGAACATATAGTTCAATGGCTGATCACCAAAGCTGTCAAGCTTTTCGTTTGTGGCCTCTACTTCTGATGGCAGTGACACAGGCAGTGGTAGCAGTGGAATAGTCAACACGTCGAATACTGTGAAGTACTCTCCAGAGGCATTTATACCTCGGAGAGCGACAATCTGGCCGGGGAAGAAGTTTATATGTTGGAGTTTATCGATCTTCAGTGGTACCCGTAAACCGGCCCCTGTTCGCCTAGAAGTTTCAAGGACAATAGAAGCAGTATTCAGTTTCCCCTCAGGGCTATCTGACGCGATTCTTCCCACGGCAACAACCTCCCGTGTGCTTTGTTGGGCAGCATTGCCAAAGGCTGAATCATCCAATTTGTGGTGTTTCTGAACTACCGCCATGAACTCGTCTATTCGGTCATCAAGAATCTCTGAAGCCTCCGACAACTTCATCGCCATGGGTTTATACGAAAACTTCTTGATGTCGGTATTGGCCGTCAGCTTAATGCGGGAGTCAGAGTAAGGTGCCAGAGGAACAGATGCCATCCTCATATCAGGATTGAGCGTCTCAATAACTTGTCCACTGTTTTGGCGTGCGGAGAATGGGGTAGATCTGTTTCAATCGTTAGTGGCTTCTAATGGTGCGTGAAAAAGACTCCATACGAATTTCCGTTAGTGGCACCATCAACAGTGCGTGATGGCGTATTCACGCTTCCTGGTGAATCTAGCTTCGTGCCTTTATTAAATCTTGAGTTTGGAGGAGTGTCTAATGCCTTTCGTTTTACAGAACTTCCTGTCGAGCCACTCGCGGTCCTTTTCGGTGTATTGGGTCCAAAATCATCTAACCTTAAGTGATATCAGTATCTCACAAGACCAAAATGTTTTCTCTTGCAATACTTACATATCAATTATCCCCTGGTTCGCTCCAGCAGTAGGGCGAGGCGCTGCCGGGCCCGTATTTCGTTTCTCTGCCCCCCGTATTTGGGTCTTTGCTCGCGATTCTCTCTCTATAGCATCGTGAAGGTTGCGCTTGAAGGCACGAACAGTGTCCAAATTCAAAACTGTTTCTTCTCCGGCCATCTTCAGACAGTATGATTCCCACTTGTAAAAGAGCTCCTGCGGGTCAATTGCGTGGAGTTGCAGAATGGACAACAGCTCGCCCAACACGTCCTGGGGAAGTCCATCGGGAAAAGAACCGCCAAAGAGCTCATTTAGTTGCACCGTTAGTTCAGCCATTATCAATTGAACTATCCTTATTTATGGGTATACAGTGCTTAATATGAGAAAACGGCCAACATCATACAAAAGAATCGAAGATGTCAAAAGTTGCCTATTTTGGCTTTCTCAGACGCGTTTAAAAGTCGCGCCTCAATTAACGAAGGCGGTGAGATTCTGCCAACTCGTAGCTCCCCTGGAAACGAGGTCTTGGCGCTCTTTTCTCCTAAAGCAAGTAACTAATAATATCGTAATAATAACACAACAGACGACGAGCAACCGACAACCAAGACGACGGCTAAAGAGAAGAGCAGCCTGTGTCTGTTATTTCTGCTTCGCTTGGTCAAGACGCTCTGCTTCGCTCTGGGAAAGGCAATATGGTCTCTGAGGGCACGGCTGCACCGCCACAAGACCTTGCGAAGGAGAACATTAAGCCAGAAGGAACCATGCAAGCAGAAGCGAATAAGAACGAAAAGCCGGAACCCGCAGAAAAGACCGTTGATATCTCCGACCTTCCGTTATCCGCCGCTGACGGGCTGATTAAAACTCTCTTTCGCGGACCACTTGACTCTTGCAAGCCTACCCCGCCAGCAGAGCTGACCGCCGAACAGAAATCTAAGTACGACAGCCTCCTGGCATTGGTGAGAGGGTGGACCACGATACCGACTACGTCAGCAAAGAATGCACCTCGTGAGCCACTTAGCGATGATGAATGCATGTTCCTCACGCGAGAATGCTTACTCCGATACCTTCGTGCTACAAAGTGGAACGTTGCTAGTGCAGAGACCCGACTGCAGGCGACCTTGACATGGCGTCGCGAGTACGGCGTGAAGGAGCATACTCCGGAATACATTTCAATTGAGAATGAAACCGGCAAACAGGTGATTCTGGGTTATGACATTCATGCTAGACCCTGCCTGTACCTTAACCCTAGCAAGCAGAATACCGAACACAGCCCTCGTCAGATCGAACATCTCGTCTTCATGATTGAACGCGTCATCGATCTCATGGGCCCTGGCCAAGAGTCTCTTGCATTGCTCGTGAATTTTAAGGAAACCAGCTCTGGACAGAATGCAACTTTGTCTCAAGGAAGGCAAACTCTAAGCATCTTACAAAACCATTACCCAGAGCGTCTCGGCAGGGCTCTAGTTATTAATAGTATGTGCTTTTATAAAACGCCTTTTTACTGTTTTACAGGATCTGTCGTCTAATCTATAATTTGTTGTAGTGTCCTTCTTTATTCTTGGCTTCTTCAAGTTGATCACTCCTTTCATTGACCCGCTGACGAGGGAGAAGCTGAAGTTTAACGAGGACATGCGCCAGCATGTTCCGCCTTCTCAACTCCTCAAAGCAACTGGTGGAGACGTTGAGTTTGAGTATGACCATTCTGTCTACTGGCCAGCTTTGAATGCCCTGGCTGCTCAGAAACGGCAGGCCTACCGTGAGAGGTGGATCCAGGCAGGCAAATTTATAGGTGAACATGAAGACTACCTCAAGGGGGGATCCGGAAAGTGTCTTCGAGAAACGCCTCCCACAGCGACCGAGGCCGAGCTTGAGGAGAAAATGGTGAACTTGGCTGTTGGCGATTCGGATAAGCCCCGGGCCGCGATCACTGCGACGATGTCCTAAACTTCTCCCTCCCTATATATATATATATATATATATTATGTCCTTGTTTTCTTCTCTGACCCTAGAAACGTGCATTATAGCCTGAGCATGCCTGACACTGGATCTGGCCCATTGCATCTTCCGTTCTTGCATTCCTTTGCTTGCAGGTTTAAAAGTTTCCTTGCTTATCTGATTGCGTTATTGACTAGACGAAGGCATAGTTTCTTAATAGCATTTTCATTTGACCCTCTCCCTTTGTGTTTCCATCTATAAAACTCTATGTTGTCTACGGAGTACCTAATGCCCAAATGGATGGAGGGTTGCTGAATCAGCATCTGCGGAACATTGTTCGGGCCGCGCGCCTGCCCCATCCAAAAATGGAAACCCGAACAGACGCCGGCTCGCATCTTCTTGACGCTGCAACTTTTGCGTTATATCAAGTATCACAAACTCCCTGCTTCCGGTGTCTCCTCAGTATCTCCCCTGCTGCCGAGCAACTGGATATCTGCGCAAGGCCGATAGCGACTCAATTCCCCCAGGATCCGGGGCGCAAGCTAGCCTGTAATCTTGGCTGTTCCAAAGGAAAGCAATATCTCCCCACCAAGCAACAACAGCTTATCGATCGTGCTGTTCCACTTCTTTCCCTTCCCCCAACCACAGAGCATCCTGCATCTCAATTTGGTGCATGGCTGCGGTGGCCCCAGATACAGCTTCTCTGCTACCCTTGTCTTCGATCAGAACCCCAACACCGGCCTCTTCACATCACCATCAGACTCAGTAGCACAGCCGCTCACGTACCAAGTCTCTGTAGAGCTGTACCTCTACCGACCGCAAACCCCCCTCCTATCTTCCTCCTACCTGACCAATTTTCGAATAATTGAATAGCCGCGGGGCTTCTAAGAGTGCTTATGCTAAAGCTTCCAGTTTGGCAAAGCTAGCCTTTCTCTCTTTGCTACCAAGTTCCGTGAATAACCCGAGTATG